AAAAAAATCCACATAATCATCTTTTACATGATGGATTTTCCACCTAATATTGAAAATGTAAAATAGTCAATCACTTAGCGAAAAAATTAGTTACATCAATATTTAATTGACGAAAAGACAAAATTGAAAATTGAAGTTAAAAGACGTTTTTGGTACTTTTTGAAGTTCAAGGATGAATTGGTTCAAAAATAAAAGTTGAGGGACCAATTCAAATATTTAACCTAAAAAAATATATTAGCTACGTCAGCATCACTATTCAATTAATCCTTAAATAGAAAAAGTTAAAAGTTGACATCCTTAAATAGAAAAAGTTGAAAGTTGACATCCTTAAATAGAAAAAAGTTGAAAGTTGACATCCTTAAATAGAAAAAAGTTGAAAGTTGACATCCTTATTTAGAAATTGACAAAGTTAACATACTTATTTAGAAAAAAATTTAAAATTAACATCCTTATTTAGAAACTGTCAAAATTAACATCCTTAAATAGAAAAAAGTACAAAGTTAGAATCCTTATTTACACTTTTACTCATATGTTAGAGGTGTTAGTATATAGAGGAGGTATTAAACCTGAGACATGGGATGCAAATCATGAACTATCCCAAAAAGCAACAACTAGCCACTGGACCACTCACGTGAAATGCTCGTGTTCATATTTGGATTCTAAAGAATAGAAGGGTGTGGAAAGAAAGGGGAAAGAATTATATATATATTTTTATTTTTTTTATTATTCTCTTTTTATTTTTATTTTAATAAATAATTTAATTATTTATTAAAATAAAAAATAAACTTAAAAAAAAAATTCTCCTTTTCTTTTATTTTTTTATAAGTAAATAAAAAAAAATTTTCGTCTCTTTTCTCACTTTTATTCCTTTTAATTTAAATATACTGCTAAGGAGAGTGCAAGTGTAATAATCCACTAAAATGTTGGGCAAAAATTTACCCCGCATTTTTAAAATGGAAGTATATACGCGAAACGTTTGATAAAATGAAGCAAAAATCTTACTTCAGACGTCAAAGTGGAAGAGACAGAGAATTAGGTGTTGGATGCTGCGCGATGGTCCACGACAAATTGTAATCGTACTCAAGTCAATATCATGTGAAACAATTTGTTTCTTCCTTTTTATCTTTTCCTAGGTCTTCAAATAAAGAAAGATTCGCCTCCGCACTTCTGTTCTTTTCTTGTGAAGAAACAAAAGTTCATTTGACTGTTGCATCATTAATGGAATTGAACCCGCGCGCGGTACTTCATTTTCTAGGTAACTTCGAAACAATTATCAAGTTCCCATTTGTCT